ACGGCAGCATTGGCACCGGCGGAGAAACCCGAAAAATTTTTCGGGATTGATTTCAAGCGCTGCAGCAAAAGATGTTCTTCTATTGACTACTCTAAGTCTCCAAGAAGTTCATCAAGGAAGATGTTCCTGTGCTGTCCGATGAAACTCCAGAAACTGAACGCTTTCTCGTGATTGGGCGTGGAAGCATTCAGATTTTTGTGCAAGAATTATATTCTAAGCGAGCTGGGAGGATGCTTTGTATAACGTCTACAGTGGCGTGGAAACGTCAAAGTAACTGTGGACTGCGCTTGAAAAAGAAATACAAAATCGAAGATGCCGGGTGAAAAAGTTTGTTGCTGAAAAGTTTTTGGACTACAAAAATGTAGATAGCAAGTCTGTTATTACCAAGTCCAGGAATTGCAAGTGATTATTCACGATCTCCTTGCTGAAGGTATAACTCAAATTAATATTGATGTTGAAAGTAGTAATCTTAGTAATTTTTACTAACAGAAATTTCATGAAGGTCTTGTCATCAATGGAGCATTTCAAGTAGTAGCGATGATTGAGAAGTTGCCTCCTTTGTGGAAGGACTTCAAAACTACTTGAAAACACAAACGCAAGGAGATGTTCCTTGAAGATCTCATTGTTCGGTTGAGAATCGAAGAGGACAACAAAGCTGCTGAAAAGAGAGGTCGTGGGAAACTCAACAATAATGGAGCAAAATATTGTTGAAGAGAACAAAAAGAGGAAGAAGGCTTCTGGACCAAATACAACCCAAGCAAGAAGCGGTTCAGTGGAAACTGCTACAACTGTGGAAAAACCGGACACAAATACGGAGTGTCGTGCTCCAAAGAAGGACAAGAAGAAGGGTCAAGCAAACATGTTGAAAAGCATGATGATGTTGATGATTTATGTGCCATGCTTTCCGAATGCAACTTGGTGGACAATTCTAAAGAGTGGTGGATTGATTCTGGAGCCACTCGCCATGTTTGTGTTAGAGAAGCTTTTGCTTCTTATGCTCCTGTTGGACCCGATGAGACGATTTCTATGGGAAATGCTTCAAAGGCGAAGATTGAAGGATGTGGGAAGATATTTCTCAAAATGACTTCCGGCAAAGTGGTGACTTTGAACAACGTCCTTCATGTTTCCGAGATTAGGAAGAATTTAGTCTCTACTGGACTTCTTGTTAAGAATGGTTTTAAATGTGTTTTTGTTTCCGATAAGGTCGTAATAAGTAAGAACGAAATGTTTGTAGGAAAAGGTTACCTCACTGAGGGCCTTTTCAAGCTGAATGTAATGGTGTTGAAAATAATAATAAAATTTCAGCTTCGTCTTCTTACTTACTTGAGCCAAATGAATTATGGCATATACGTTTGGGTCATGTCAATTATAAAACCTTACGGAAAATGATTAATTTGGAAGTATTGCCCAAGTTTGAATGTGACAAATCAAAATGTCAAGTATGTGTGGAATCTAAGTATGTTAAACATCCTTATAAGTCGGTTGAAAGGAATTCAAATCCTTTAGACTTAATTCACACAGATATTTGTGACATGAAGTCAATACCATCTCGCGGTGGAAAAAAGTATTTCATAACTTTTATTGACGATAGTACTCGATATTGCTATGTTTACTTACTTAATAGTAAAGATGAAGCAATAGACGCATTCAAGCAATACAAAAATGAAGTTGAAACGCAACTTAATAAGAAAATCAAAATGATAAGAAGCGATAGAGGTGGTGAATATGAATCTCCTTTTGAACAAATATGTTTAGAATATGGAATTATTCATCAAACAACGGCCCTTACACGCCCCAATCCAATGGGATTGCAGAAAGAAAGAATCGTTCATTAAAGGAGATGATGAACGCATTATTGATAAGTTCTGGTTTGCCACAGAACTTGTGGGCGGAAGCCGTTCTTACAGCTAGCCGAATACTAAATCGAGTACCCCATAGCAAAACACAATCCATTCCATATGAAAAATGGAAAGGAAGGAAGCCCAACTTGAATTAGTTTTAAAGTGTGGGGGTGTTTGGCAAAAGTGCAAGTTCCTAAACCCAAAGGGTAAAAATAGGACTGAAAACCGTTGATTGTGTTTTCATAGGATATGCGACTAATAGTAAAGCATATCGATTTCTGGTTCATAAATTAGAAAATCCCGACATTCATAATAATACGGTTATAGAATCAGATAATGTTGAGTTCTTTGAAAATATATATCCGTATAAAAAGGAATGTGAGTCGATTGGTGAAGGATCTAAACGACCTCGGGAAGAAACAAAAGAAAGTACACTTAACCAGGAGGATCCAAGACGTAGTAAACGTCAAAGAACGTCTACTTCATTTGGACCAGATTTTGTGACTTTCTTATTGGAAAATGAGCCTCAAACATTTAAAGAAGCTATGTCTTCTTCGGAATCATTGTTATGGAAAGAGGCAGTCAATAGTGAAATAGAATCCATACTGAACAACCATACATGGGAATTGGTTGATCTTCCTCCTGGAAATAAACCGTTGGGTTCTAAATGGATCTTTAAGATGAAAATGAAAGATGATGGCACTATTGACAAGTATAAGGCAAGACTTGTGGTCAAAGGGTATAGACAACGAGAAGGTCTTGACTATTTTGATACATACTCTCCAGTTACAAGAATTACATCCATACGAACGTTAGTAGCGTTAGCTGCAGTTTATGGTCTTGAAATTCATCAAATTGATGTTAAGACGGCCTTCTTAAATGGAGAGTTGGAGGAAGAAATCTACATGGAACAACCTGAAGGGTTTGTGGTTCCAGGTAAAGAAAAGAAGGTCTGTAGACTTGTTAAGTCCCTTTACGGATTAAAACAAGCACCCAAACAATGGCATGCTAAATTTGTCCAAACAATGTTGTCAAATGGAATTAAGATAAATGAATGTGATAAATGTGTGTACATTAAAAATGTTCCAAATCACATAGTCATTGTTTGCTTATATGTGGATGATATGCTCATAATGAGTAATGACATTGCCAACATAAATGCTACTAAGCGTATGCTAACTAGCAAGTTTGATATGAAAGACTTGGGAGTTGCTGATTTAATTCTGGGAATTAAGATCCATAAGACTTCTCAAGGTCTAGCATTGTCACAATCTCATTATATTAAGACAGTACTTGAAAAATTCAAGCACTTGGGCTTTAAAGTTGCAAAGACTCCAATTGATGTGAGTCTTGCATTAGCAAAGAACAAAGGCCAGAGCATATCACAATTGGATTATGCTCGTGTGTTGGGTTGCTTAATGTACATCATGAATTGTACACGACCAGATATAGCTTGTGCTATAAGTAAATTGAGTCGATATATGAGCAATCCAGGCCAATCTCATTGGATGGCCATGCAACGAGTTTTGGGGTATTTAGTACATACCCAAGACTTTGCTTTGCACTACAATAAATATCCTGCGGTCATTGAGGGATACTGTGATGCAAATTGGATCACCGGATCAACTGATTCCAAGTCCACAAGTGGATATGTATTCACTATTGGTGGAGGAGCGGTATCTTGGAAGTCATCCAAACAAACTTGTATTGCCCGCTCTACAATGGAGACTGAGTTCATAGCCTGGATAAAGCCGGTGAAGAAGCTGAATGGCTCTGGAATTTCTTGGAAGATATTCCATTTTGGCCCAAACCGTTGGCACCAATATGCATACATTGTGATAGTCAAGCGGCAATTGGAAGGGATGGGAGCGTATGTATAGCGGTAAGTCTCGCCATATACGACGAAGACATAAAACCGTTAGACAATTACTCTCTAGAGGAATTATCACGATTGACTATGTAAAGTCAAGTGATAATGTGTCAGATCCACTTACAAAAGGCCTAACTAGAGAGGTAGTTGAGAATTCATCAAGGGGAATGGGACTGTGGCCGAGAACAAGTCATAGTGGCGGTAACTCTACCTAGAAGACTGGAGATCCCTCTTTATTTTCCCTCTTTATTGTTGAGTAAATGGCCATTTATGTAATGACATTTATGTTGTGGGCGTTTTGCATAAATAGCCATTCTGAAGAGTTGCACCTCTTCAGATTTCAGCCCAACTTTGGCTATAAATACAATACTATTCTGCTCAGAATTTCACTACGATTTTCTGAGTTTTCTATCCTTCTTCTGCATACTTTTAGCATCAAACAAAGTAAAAAGTAAGTGTGATTTGCTACCGAACTTTGTGTTCGCTGAAACACTGGGGTTTGAAGTACCACTACACCAGTGTGTAACTCGTTCTATCCTGGGAGGAAATAATTCATAACCCTGGGTACTAGGAGGGGATTAAATTCCTTAAGGAAACACTGTGAATCCAGTGGGCTCGAATTGGTTTTTTGACATTTCTGTTTATGTTCATTTCTGTTTATATTCATTTATATTTCCAGAATTATTTTACAAATACAGTATAACTAACATTACTGTGAGGGTTAACTTCTATACATTTACCATGGTTATGTTGTAGAATATGTTATTTAATTAATAGTTGTAGACTGTGGAATATTTTTTCATTTCACTAGTAATTATGAAAAATCCCCATATTAATATGTCACAAATATAGTTTAACTTTAAACTTATTATTTTACTCTTACTGATATATTTTGAAAATTTTCAAAATTACCTTCGTTTTTCTGTAAATTTTAAATCCAATTAACGAGTTTGATAATTAAATTTTAAACTCGGGTCAAATAAAAAAAAATGGGTCTCAAATTCCTCCAACTGTCAATCCCGTCAAAAGTACAAGTATTTTCCGAACCCCCAAATCGAAATCTTTTCCAGTTCGCTCAAGCCGTTGCCCTCTTCCGTCAATCCCAGCACCGTCGGCGACTTCTCTGGTGAGTTCCCTTTCCACCGGCGACACACTCTCTCTCTCTCTTTCAAATTTCTCTTTCATTAAAGAGTAACCTATTCTCTTTTGCTGCAATCTCTTCTGTTCAGTCTAAAGTATATACGCAAATAAGAAAAGAGAAATGGTTGTAAAAGTTTTGCTTTCAAGTTTGAGTATTTTGTACACCTTGAATTGTGAGCATTTTGTCTAAACCTTCGTGGTCAGAGGTATCCGGTCGAGCATAAAAAGAAGAGTTGTAATTTTTTAGTAAACCTAATTTAGTGCTTACTTTAGCTGGTGTATATGAAATACTCTTACAACAATAATGCTTCAATTCCAAGCTGATCGGTTTGTTGTACAGAATTCTCTTACTTATAAAAAAATAGTAGACTGGATTTTATAACAGGTGCTGGTTCTTTTCCAGGTATACTAATAAATAAAATAAGTGGTTTTTCTCTTCTTGTCATTTGCTTGATCAAGATTTTTGGTATTCGATGATTAGTAGCACATTTTTGGGCCAGTTGTGAGCTAGATTCCTGAATCCACAGTAGGGATATGTTGTTTCTGCTATTCTTTGTTAGCACTAAAGAGGCATTACTGACGTATAGGAAACGACTCTGAAGGTGAATTTTGGCTCTATGTAAGGTTGAACCTTCAAAGAAATGGCTGAAGGCGGGGAAGAGGACTTGCCAAGGGATGCAAAGATTGTGAAAACGTTGCTAAAATCAATGGGTGTTGATGATTTTGAGCCTCGAGTTGTTCATCAATTCTTAGAACTGTGGTATCGGTATGTTGTTGATGTACTCTCGGATGCTCAGGTCTATTCAGAACATGCAGGGAAAGCTGCCATCGACTCTGATGATATCAAGCTTGCCATTCAGTCGAAAGTTAATTTCAGCTTCTCACAACCCCCACCACGTGAGGTACTAAATCTTATCAGATTCTTTCTTGTTGTGCTGATAATTTATTCTTCTGAGGTGTAAGATTAGTACCTTTCTTAGAGACCTGTTAGGTGTGTGGTGAAATTGATAATATTTAGCCTTTTCTTGTCTAGGAAGGATAAGTAAAATCGAGACACCGAAATGAAGGATTATATAGTAGCTAAAATGATAGGCTTGCAGTAAATACGGTTCCTTTGTGACACTTGTGTATTTCACTGGAGACCCAAAACAAAAAAGAGATTTCACTGGAGAGATTTAAAAAATATTAACTATTACAGCCTATATTTCTAGGTCATAATTTGGTGCGATTGTATGTGGTTAATTACCGTGGCTTTCAGGAATTGATGAGGAGCGGCTGGTGGCTGAATGTTGGTTTAGTTGTGTGGAAAATATTCAGTTATATGAAGAACAGAAGATGCTGAAAGTTCTGCAAAAATTTAAGGGGTGAATGGGTTCTGGCAATTTGAGGTCTGAAAAGTTTTGCTCGTCTGGATCATTTTTGTGATGCTTAGCTGGCTAACCTTTTTAGCATTCACAGTATTATTAGGAGATTGATTAAAAGACAACAAGAAGAAAAGTAGAAAAATAACATTTAATCCCGCCTAGACAATTTCCTAGGATAATCACCAAAAGAAGGCTGCACAGACCAGAATAAACAACGACGATTTGAACAAATCAAACTGAATACTTGTAGAATACTCCAGTTAAATGAAGTTAGTCCATTAGCTATTATAAACCAAAAGACCTCCAAAAATCAAGTTACATATTTTAGGTATTATTTTCTTTCGGAACTACCTTGTTCTTAGCTATTTACTTGAGTAGGACTTACTGGATATGACTCCTGTTATTGCAGGGTTGAGAAAGATTTGGTTAAATACTTATACAAAAACATTTCCAGCTAGGAATTATGTTTTAATTTTTGTTTTTTTATTCTTTTTGACTCTATTTCACAAGCGACTAGCAGTACTATGCCCGACTTCTCTAGCTATCTGACAGAATTAGCTTGATTTTCCACATGTGACACTTTCTGCCTCATAATACTTATAGATACCTCTTGTTGGATGAATTAAATTTTTTAATTTAATCATTAACCAACATGCACTTGGTATTGGATGTTTAATTTGCCCTGCATATATGTATTTTTTCCCCTTTTCGTTTTTTTGAGGGGATGTGGTAGACCAAACCCAGCCCCCCCCCCCCCCCC